GTGTGTGTGTGTGTGTGTGTGTGTGTGTGTGTGTGTGTGTGTGTGTGTGTGTGTGTGTGTGTGTGAGTGAGAGAGAATGTACTCTGCTAAGAAATTTGTGTTCTAGCCTAAATCAAAACCCTCCGGACAAACTCCTTTCTCTATGGAGAATGCATTATTTGGTATGTATGTTTTGCCAATGGTAATATGTCTGCATACTGTACTATTCTGTGCATTTTTCACTTAATATGGCTTAGCAATAATTCCAGATTAAATATATTTAAATCCGCTTTTCTTTTTAAGATTTTTTTTTGATGTGAACCATTTTAAAATCTTTATTGAATTTGTTAAAACACTGCTTCTGTTTCATGTTTTGGTTTTTTGGCCATAAGGCATGTGGGATCTTAGCTCCCCGACCAGGGATTGAACATGCACCCCCTGCATTGCAAGGCAAAGTCTTAACCCATGGACCGCCAGGGAAGTCCCTAATCCTCCTTGTTCTTTTTAATGGCTACACAGTGTTCTGTTCCATGCATGAACCACAATTTATAATGCTATCCATTACTGACGAACATTTACGTTGTTTCCAAACTTTTGTTTTTATAGCTAATACTACATGAATATTTTTATACACTGTATACATATATATGCATGAATATATTTACAGGGAAAAATTACAGAAGTATAACTGCAAAGTCAGGAGACATACAAATTTAAACTGACCAATTCAATGACTATCTTTTGCTTGATTTTGATAAATACTAACAAACTATATTAAACTGTAAACATATGACATAATTCTCCCCATAAAACTTGAACTTTCAAAGGCAAATAATTTACATAACATATATTCTTTAAAGTTAGAATGCAAGATTTGAGAGGGCTCTTGAGACTACCTGGTGAAGTCCAGTGATTTGAAGCAGCTGAGCATAAAAACACAGGTAGGTGACTATATACATTCTTCACACAGATCTTTAGAAAAGAGGATAAGTTGACAACCGTCTCACAATCTGGATATCAGTGCCATTCCTTACTAAGTAATTTGTGCTTCTGCCTAAATTAAAATTCTCCTAACAAACCCTTTTCTCTATGGAGAAGGCATACTTTCTTTGGTCAGCCTCCTGCATTAATTTTTAAATGCTTATTTGTACATCTCCAGTTGATTAATTAAGTAGGTGATATTATTTAACAAGAACAAAACAGAATTTACAGAGAAATAATTTACTTATATAGTAAAATTTTACTTGAGCGATATTAAAAGAAAAACACAGGTAATCTGCATTTTATTAAGAACTCTGGTCACAGTCATTCAACCAAGACTTGAACAGACAGCACAGGCTGCTCAACACGCCTCATGCAGCAGTCAGAAGATGCTGCTTCTCATTTGTTTCCACGCCCAGGGACCAAGGCCTGTGTTCTTGGCAGCCATCATGACATGTTCCCACGGGGGCCTAGCATACAGGTTCAACTAAGTGCATAAATATCTGTTAAATCAGTAAAAATGTTTTTTAGTTTTTGTTATTTATTTTTTGAAATGCCCAAATCTAGTTAATTTTCCTTCTTTCTTGATTTGGAAAGATTTCAATTGTCAGTTATTGAATGGGTTGCAGCCCCCTGGACTACAGTTATGTTGGAATGATGTCACCATAAAAACATTCCTGGGGGAAAGCAGAACTGTGTTAGAAATTTCTTTCTTTCTATTACTTAACAAAAAGAAATGTTAACAAGTAACTTCTGGTTAATTTTTTAGCGGATGGTTGTTACACAGGCTATTTGATGAGATTAATATATATTCAAGAATTAAATGCTATATGATTTCTAATTAAGTACTAAATTGTTCTCCTATGTGGTGTGGGGATTCTGAAAAGGGAGAAATGGGTGTTAGTTAGAAAACTCTAGAAGACGTTGTAAAAAGTATTAATTAAACAGAACCCTGAAGGTCAGTAGCATTTGAAGAGGCAGAGAAAGACATGCTAACTACGAGGAACACTGTAAGCAAATGTTAAGAAGACTGGGTTAAATAAACCTCAGAATAGTCATGGAAAACAGCACTGATAGAAATGGTTAGGCCAGAATATTAACCACTTTGAAAGCTGTACAGCAGAATTCAAATGCAGTACTTCTGTCACTTAAAATAACAACAATAAAAGAGCTAAGCTTTGGATTTACTTATGAGGTGAGCTGCATTTATAATTAAAAGGCTAGCATTAATTCTAAAATAACTCTTTTAATCTATTTAGATTTATTACTGACATCTTCAATATTTACAGCCTGTGAAAAGCATGTTTCAAGAGAAAGAAAAAACCATAGGCTGTATTGCCTCTATCTGATATTACACAGTGGTAAAAGCACAAAGAGGTAAACACTTGGCTGTTCAAACAATCACTATCCCCACCCTCTTTGCACCCTCTGCTTTTCTGTGGAAGAACTAAAAACTGTATATTAGTACATACTATTCTTTTCAGCTATCTTAAGGATTTCCCTTTGATAAAAGTGCATCCTGGACCTTTATATGAGAGAAAGTAAATCATTCTTAAAGTGAGTAAAAGGGGAAACATCTGCTATATTTATAAACTAAAAATGTTATTTCACTTTCTATTAGGCAACTATGAACTTTTTTTTTTTTACTGTTTTAAATATAATAGAAAAAAAAATCTGCCAGCAAAGAGGAGATTCCCATATCTCAAGCCAACCTTAAAAGCAAAAATATTATGAGAAATGTAGGTTTTGATTTGATAGAACTTTAGTTCCTTGGAAGGGAAACAGAAGGGAGGTGCCAAAAACATGAAATCCAAAAGACTTGGATTCAAAATCTAGTACTGTTACTTATTAGGTATATTTCTATGTGTATTTTTTTGGGATAACTGCTTAATTTCTTTAGTTTGTAAAGTAGGGATAGCAATATCTAATATAGCTCTGTTAGAATAAGTTTATGAAATAGCTATGATAATTATTTAAATGCTAAGTCTATAAGAATGTACACCTGATGCCCTAAAGCAGTTCCAAGGTTTTTAGTTTTATGTCCCACTCTGAAGAACATAAGAGAGTGAAAAAAAAAAATAAGGCTCATGCCAGATTTAAATGGATCAAAATGAACTGTTCATGCCAGAAAACTTCCTAACAGAAATAGAAGACTACCTCCTGATATCTATCTTTATGTGTGGCTATTCTGAGCAGGAGTCTATTAGCTTGAACATATGAAACTACTAATATTTTATCACTTTTGTTGTACAAAAAGACACTTTGGTTCAACCTATTACAACCCTCCTACTACAAGCATATTTTCCCTCTCATATATACACACAGTATGCCTACATATAAAATATATGTATATGGGCCTATACCACAACTCTGCCCTAAGATACACTGAGCAATACCCCTTAGGCAATCTTTTTGTAACGCCAATGTCCTACCTCAACAGTGACACTTTTCTTGATTCACAAAATGATTTTAAGTGTTCATTAACTTGCTATTAAATACCCTTTCTTTGGCACAGAAATAGGAAGGAACATTAAAAAAAAGGAAGCACAACTAAGGCACGTACCAGGCACCTGTGGAGGACCACGGACACCTAAGGGGACGGGAGGAACCCCCAGCGACCGGGTAGGACATGGGGCGTGGTGGGGGGG